CCCAAAACCCCAAAACCCCAAAACCCCAAAACCCCGGGGAGAAAGGGGAGAATTGAAGGAATAGAGGAGTTTTTAGGGGATTTTTAGGAGGAATTGGAGAAGAGGGGTTATTGGATAGGTTCTTGGGGGTGTTGAGGGTTGGGTTGGAAACTTTTGCGGACTGTTCTGATGGAGTAGAGGGAGATTGTGCAGTAGATGGCAGTGAAGATTAGACTAAAGAATAGAGTGAAAGTGTAGTCTTCGATTATTTCTTGCCCCCAAACTTCAGATTTTGAAATACGATTTCCATCTGAGTCAAATTCGTATTCTTTATTTGTAAAATACTCATTGCATTCGTGAGTATTTAATTCATAATCTTTTAAAACAGGATGCTTCAATCCAATAGTTCTGCAACTATTCAATCAATATTCTACATAAGTTGACATCCCTATGAGGGCTCCAAAAATAACCAAAACTGTCTGTAAGAGATCAAGGAATACCATAATAACATAAATTCCAACCAAAACCAGTTGCTTTCTCTCTGGGAACCCATTCCTAACTATATCAAGATTCTTGGATTCCTTGAGAGTGTAATATCCAGCATAGAGCTCCAGAGAGCTTACTATTAGCAATATGAGTCTTGCTAATACCTTCCATTTGTAATTGGTCTCAATTTTTCTGCTATCATCACCTAGCGGACTCTCCACTCCAAACAGCTCTACATCCACAAAATCTCAAAACAGCACTAACAAATGGAACCCAACCCCCATCCCTCCCATCACAATCTGCACATAAGCCACAACCGGGATCGCCTTCTTCGCATACTCCACTCTCTCTTCAAACTTCACATCCCTCAAATTTCCCCTCTATAAATCATCAGTCACACCCCAAAATCCTCCAAAGCCTCCTTTTCTCCCACTCAAAATCCTCTACTAAACCCCCACTGTGAAATTCCAAAATCTCAGTTACAGATTTCAGGTTTGGACCAGTATACACTAGACTATTTCCAAAATGCAAACCCTTAGTTTTGATTTCTTACCATATGATGTTGTTGGTACCTTCCAGGTACTTCTCCAAAGTTATTCATTTGATGTAGAGGGATACCCCTTGGAACATTGGTATCTTGTTGGTCACCTTCATCTATCTCATCATCTTCCTTTGATTCAGAGAGGAGATTGTTCTCTGTATGCCTATTATTGTTCTGAACATGGATATTCTGACCGACAGAACTTGAGCCTTTGTTGGCGCTAGATTCACTTGGATTATCTGCAAAGATATCTAAGCTATCCTCTTTCTGCACCTGCTCCATTTCTTGTTCTTTTGGTCTGCCAAGAGTATCGTCAATATTCTTGCCGTACTTCTCTATCAACAAGTGAGATACATAAATTAGGTGCGAAAATTATGAATGACCCTTACCTTTGTCGTAGTTGAAATCCATCTTTGAAAATCTTTATAAATCATTTAACTTTCAGCAAGTTAAGTGCATTACGGGGTTTTGGGGTTTTGGGGTTTTGGGGTTTTGGGG